CAGACCTGATCGATCGCAACGATGAGATGCGAGTATCAGTAAGGCTATTTTATTACAAACTGAAAACACTGCTTTTTGTTCATGTGTATCAGATAATCTGATAAAGCGTCTGGTGCAGTTAAATATGGAATTCGGGAAAGTGACTTCCAGAACTACTAACACTCCAAATAATTTTTCTGTACAGACGAAGGGTTGATAGATATGTGGTGCCGTGCTTCGTCAATCGTTCACCTTGATAACCGTTATAGTACCAATCCTAAAGGTGCCTAAAATCAGAAGGCAAAGAGAAGCGACAACTACAGCTTATTGTCAAATGACGTAGAGCAGAAATTCACAATAACATAAGCGAATATCAGCAAGAAGCGAGCGAGCAGCAAACAATTACATAGGCAATTTATAGTCAAATTGAATAAGGGCACAACAAAACAAAGCAAAAGCTGATAATAGGATTTGCGTGCATGCATATATGTGGAGGAGTATGAGTCATCGAATTATACTTAAGCAATCAACATTTTGGCTAGAGTGTCATGTGCTCTAGTGGTCATATAAGTACAAAGAGTATGCAAATTGTTTTTATCCAAATGACGATGTCTGTTAAGTAACTTAATAAAAAGGCCACAAAACCCCTTCTATAATTAATATAATATGCTCACTAGTGATTTCGAGAAGTATATCTAAGAGCTCTAGTGAGAAGCAGTGACTAGTGGAGTTCAAAACCACGTCTGTTGTGAGATAGGAACTCACTGAAGACAATTGGTGAATGGTTGCTCAACTTCGTGGATCAGTTGAAGTTAGACATTAACACCGTTGGATGCCAGCTCAGTGGTCTATCGGTTAAGGGCTTCGGCTCGAGACTGGTAGGTCCTGGGTTCGAACCTCGCTCGCGAGAGCAGGTTCGTGGATGCGCACTGCTGAGGAGTCCCATAATAGGACGAAACGGCCGTCCAGTGTTTCCATGGTGGTCTAGCTTCAATTGACTCACGCTTTCAACAATGATAAAAAGGCTTAACCAAAACTAGCCATAATCGAAATCGATTGTAGAATGGTTGTCATAATTACACACAGACTGAGACGAATGATCACAAGCGTAATAACTCAGTGACTAGTTTTAACCAGACTAATACAGTCGACAAGTACCTATAAATCAATATTATTGTATTCTGTTTGTTCTTAAAGTGGTCAATCCATTCTCAGTTTATTCGAAAGTTGAAAGACCAAACTTTTTAATATCGATACATGTTTCTAACGGACGTTTAGTTTCTAGGCATGAGAGTTGAGACAAACTAAGATAATTGCGGGCATTTTGAAATGTTAAATATTGAGATGTCCATGGTGTATTACAAACATTTTGAACACGGTCTCTATGATTATAAAATGAAATCCTCCTTCATTCTGAAAGTAACTACATAACAACCTCATATATATACTTGGTTATCGTCTATTGACTTAAGAGTTTCACATGGATTGAAAAACAGCTTTGAAACTTTTGGGAAAAAGAAAGTATCTTTGGTATTTGAATGAACCAATGATTCCCCTGTATTGATGACTATTTTGATTTCGAATTCCAAATACAGTACATTCGTTCGTGCTCATCTAATACTTCTTGATTAATTTGCGTTCTTGCTGGGATTACCAGTTTATACTATAATTCAAATTCTCTTAAATATTTCAGTTACACATATTACAATCACTGTTTGCACATCAAACGTGCCCAGACTTATCATATCATTGAACAGTTGTAGCTACAGTTGCATACATTATTTTTATCCAAAAACATGTCCTCATTCATGAATCGTTCGGATAGATACACCCTGATACGCAAAATGAAGTTGTCCAACAATTCTTGATTACAAAATATCATATTGTGGAGGTAAATAAATCCTCAAAATAAATAGTTCTGCAATTTCTCGACGTTGATGCTGACCACACTAGCTTTACTGTACACACCTAGCTGAAGGTTCTGGTCACGCATCCACATCAGATCGCGAGTGGGAACGTCATACTACGCATCACTTGCAACAGTTAGCCAGTTTAAATCAGACGCCTCCCGATATATCAAAAGCCTTTCAAATATATCCTCGAATCACTTCATCTCTGACTTCTGTTTGACTGGGTAGACATACTTTGATTATAAAGGTGTTACTTGCAAAGGCTTTGTCGAACAAACACACGTGACATCTTTAATATTATAGAAAGCAACCTAGTGACAGCTATTCAGTAACTGTTTATCGAAAGTTATAAGGTTCATTGCTGAGTTACTTTTAAATTGCGAATACTCAAAATGTCTAGTGTGGGCTCTAATGAATTTACATTATACTAAATACGAACGAAAGGGATATTTTTGCGCTTGGACATGGGATCGTATACATACTGATTCGCGCCATAAGGTAATCTGATATTTTAATACTCCTGCTGCTAATCACTCAACAAGAGCTAGAAAGCGCATGATTTATTGTATTCGTAGTGCATTAAAGTACATTATGTATGGACAACATTTAACAGATTAGTATCTTGGAATTTTCATGACAGAAGCTTGACATGTCAAAAAACTAGTTTTTATATAGATGACCTGAAGGATTTTGTTATGATAGTGACAGCAAAGCTGTTGTAACATAACAGGTTGCACTTGAATTATATCGTTATGGGTGTGCTTAAAAGCAGAGACAAGCAAACTAGTTGACTCTTGTATTGTCTTGACGTCAACAGGGTATGTACAAAGTAGAGTAGGATTTATATTTCATTCATTGTTTACTTGGATTCATTTAAATGCAATAAAAGCTGCCTATATATATCACAGCCATTGAAAAAGGTCTCAGGTATATTACTCGAAATGCTCTGAAAATTAGTATTGGATGAACTTGACTTAAGTGTTGCGAGTAAATGTTGATAATTTTCAGAAAAGGTTGTTGACCTTTTAACACTGGTTTTTCATTGTACGTTTGTCAGCTTACAAGTGCACTAAATTTGATATACGTCGTTGTCTACCTGAAATTACAATGTGGAACTGACGTATTCATAAATTATGATTCGTTTCGCGAAAATCCTGATGAGGTTTGTGAGGGTCCCTAGAAATCAATTATGACAATCACGAAGGCAGAAACAACAATGGGAGTGTCGATCAGTAAAGTTTGTGTTTAGAAATTAACGTATTAAATCAATTTCTGCGTAAGACCAATCGATAGCAATATGGAACTACTTACTTTTCAACATTCAATAACCAGCATATCTCGGCAGTTTTGAATGGATGAACGAAACCAAAAAGTTCTGTTTAAGATGTAGTGTTTCCAAGCACTATGACGACTATTGCTTACGGAAACATCAATTTTTTTCTATTTCAGTACAGATGTTGGTTATATAGCTCAGAGATGACAGACAATTTCTTTCCAAAAGTCCAATTATTCAAATCAATGTCGAACCGTATGTTCAGGTTCCATGCTAAATATACGAATAAAGCTTCGCCTCTTTTTGAACGCTCATGTTTTTTCCTTTACCAGTTCTCATAATGCTTATTTCACATATTCTGAAAAAGCCCACAGCCTACTTATGAAGCAGTGTTGTAAATCTAAATGACCTACAGAGATTATCAGAATATTCACCTCCTGGTTTGTCTATCGGAGGAACAAAGAAGCGATTACAGTAGAGGTATATACATGAAATATATTTCGTGATGAAAAGATTTCGTAGAGGGAAAGCTGGTTGTAAAATTCCTAGAATGAAGGTAAGTTGGAGCTAGACACTATTTTAAAGACTCCTGTACATATTTCTGGATATTCATAAGTGAATATAAGGGATAAATTTTTTTACCGCATATTTTGAGTACCTTATTCTCTACCGTAAGGAAATATCTAGTAATAAATACAGCGAAACTTTATTCCGGGAACCTTATGATAATCAAATAAAACACTCAAGAGGTTTGAATTTTGATGATTGAGTTAGAAACAGTATATCTCTGGAGTGAATAAACTTAATATCTTAAACCTACCTCTTATTCATAGTCCAATTTCTTTTTAAAGTAAATGTCGAAGCCTCATCTTCGAAGTTTAATACTTATCCGTTAATCGAATTCATTAACATTAGTGAACTATCATCAGAGTTAGCACAAAAGTGGATTAAAAATACTTTGATCACCACTTCGTTTGAAAGATTAATCGAAATATTCCTAAAGTAAAGTCTAAGTCTGTTTTTTGTATGCAGATATATGTTATTGTAAGAAGTTTAAAACGTTATACTTCGAGAAGTACCGTTGTAATATCACATATCACTTGAGTGAATATGATATTCAAACGCCTAATGTAAAATGTAACCTAATTGTCAAATATTATAGGGGTTTGAGATCCATGAAACAAACATATATGACTTGAATCAATCAACAGCTCAAAAGATGAACAGTTTTATTAAATATGTGATAATTATATAACTTGCGTTATTATTATTAAAACCAGACTTTCTAGTAGATATCGACTGAAATATTTTTGATAGTTCAGATCATGAATCAATTGAAGCTAGACCACCATGGAAAACCTGGAAGCACTGGACGGCAGTTTCGTTCCATTATGTGACTCCTCAGCAGTGCGCGTCCACGATCCCGCCTCGCGAGATTCGAACTCAGGACCTATCATTTTTGTGAGCGAGCGTTTAACCACTAGATCACTGAGCCAGCATCCAACGGTGTTAATGTCTAAATATTTTTATAATAAACCACTTATCACAATAATGATACCTCTTACAAAAAGGGAAAACAAACTTTAAAATAACCGTGAACAATTTCCAATGAGCAATAGTATTTAACGAATGTATTAATATCGACACAACAACAATTATCTCCTTTTCTTATAAATATATAGATTCTACAAAATATATTTACACAAAAAGAGGAATAAACAGGGAAGATTGAATATGTATTCAACAGTTATACATTCTATTCAAAACTTTAGGGATGACATAAGTTTTCTTTTGTAATAAAAAAAATGATGGAATATACATATGAGCAAAAGCTTGGTTCATTTAGTACTTTCAACAGAGATCTCATGGAGTATGTTTAAAAGAATAGATATATTCTGAAGTTTCGAATTTGAATCTTTGTGTCCATCAATTGGATGATGATAAACCTGTTGTGAAAGTGGTAAATAACGTATAAGTTTATCACTCAAATATATATATATATATAACATCAGTGGGAAGATTCAAACAAACAATACTAAGTGAATTTAAACTTCACCCCCATTGCACAAGCAAGTGGCTATCAGGACTCAGTGACCGAGTGGATAACGCGATGACATTTGAAGCGAAAGGTACTGGGTTCGAGTTCCAGAGTGAACATCAACTCTGAGATGCAGGCACATCCAGCTGACGAGCCCCAATTAGGACGAAACGCGCGTCTTAGATTCCACTGCTAGCCACTATCCATCTTTGCTTACCATGCTTGTGAATTAAGGCTATATCAAGGCAATACGCACAGTATGCACATATGCCAATTACAGACTGACCAGTTGCAGTCCTAAAAAAACATCGATGGGAAGATTCAAACAAACAATACTAAGTGATTTCAACTTTGAAATATACTGAAATCTCCACAAATCTCCTTCTGATTATAATCATATGCTCACTAGTGACTGACTTCAAGATACATGTCCTGGAGTTCTAGTGGGAAGCAGTGACCAGTGGAGTTCAACCACGTCTGTTGTGAGATAACAACTGACTGAAGGCAATTGGTGAAGTGTCGCTCATAATTCGTGGATCAGTTGAAGTTAGACATTAACACCGTTGGATGCCGGCTCAGTGGTCTATCGGTTGAGGGCTCTGGCTCGTAACCGGTAGGTCCTGGGTTCGAATCTCGCGAGTGCGGGATCGTGGGTGCGCACTGCTGAGGAGTCCCGTAATAGGACGAAACGGCCGTCCAGTGCTTTCAGGTTTTCGATGGTGGTCTAGCTTCAATTGACTCATGATTTCAACTTTGGAATTTATATATATATATAAATGAAGTGTTTGCGAATTCTTTAATCAAATGTATTTTTGTAGAAATAATGAGACTCATTTACCAAGTACATTATTATTAGAAAAAAAAACTACTCTTACACTACCAGGTAAACAAATTGGAAATGAAAGAATGGAATTGGAGCAGATAATCTTAAGGTTACAAGACGAGAGCTTCAATCAGCAAGCCACAGCTGTACATGTATAGTTTGTATTACAGATAGGAAATGTAAGGTGGTTTCCTGCTTAACATTTCTTAAATTATTAACTTCATTTCACTATCGGTTACACAAACGCGAAAGTAATTCAATGAATAACTGTTTTAATATATTGATAACACAAAGAAGGGTGTTCTAGTTACTTGGTAAACTGTAAGCAATTATATGTAAATAACAGGTGAAAATGTTGACTTTAAGAGATTGAATCAAGTGAATACAATACAAAATAAGCTTCAAATCTAGGTGTTATGTCCTTTGCAAAGGTCTAAAATATAATTTTAATCTCATCGAAAACTGATGTTTATGGATCCATGTCAGACAATGATATAATTATTAGACTTCAACACTATTAACAGTTTCAAGTGTGCTCTATTTAATCCCGACAGTCAAAATAACGGGGTAACATGTAAAGTCTCAGGTTTGTGCAATACGAGATAATATTAGTTTATTTATCTGAAAACATTATGTCCGTGATTTGAAAAGACAAAAACTATTATCATGATATGAATAGAGTAGTAAATATCCAGTCTTTAAAAAAAAAACTTTGAGATTTCTAACTATATGTTTAGAAAATAGAGGTTCCAACTTCCTTTTGAAGAAAAATTATTATTCTGATAGATAGTAGCCCCGAACTGCCCAGATGAATCGATGAAAACTCCTGAGTATTTAGATTTGTTAATGACGGCCGTAGTTTGCCTGATCAGCATGATTGAAAATGGGTTTGATTCGTGGTCAGTTTTAACATCAAATAGAGAATTAAACCTATCATGATTCATTATTTGCTCTTTACAAATTGAGTAACTAATGATAAATTTTTTTCAGAGGAATCGCCATCAGTTAACATTAGGTGGTAAACTAATGAAAACTACGGATTATCAGAAATCTCATTTACCGCACCAAGGGGTTTTCCTGGAAGTAGGCACTTATGACCCCAACACAGGTAGAACCTATAAGTTTTGAGCCTCACGTCACGTTTAAACCACCAAGTCAAGATCTGATGGTCAATAGTTACAAATCCAACTGATTTGCAAGCTAATAACCCATGAATATGATGATAAAAAATTTATTTAGCATGGCTGTTGTTTTGGATATGATAAAATCATCACTAGTCAGGTTTTTAATCATCTTGTGGCTGATTTTGAAAATTGACTTTATACCAGTCTTTGATATATGTGAATTGTGTGTGGAACGCCTTTATCCACATATTCTATGGAACTTGTGACAAAATGGCTGTGTATCAAGGCAATCTGTATAGAATGCACAAATACCAATAAATACTTATCAAAACTCTGTTTCAAGTATCAACAATGGGATAATTCAAACTTTTGTTAATAACGACACACACAGAATATTCTCATCAAACAAGTTAGTAGTTATCTGGACTTAGCAGCCCAGTAGATAATGGATTGGCATTTCAAGCGAGAGATATTAATTTCAAGTCCCATTAAGAACATCAGCATTGACATATAGATATGTCTAACTGAGGAGTCTTAAATGAGATTAAACATGTGTTTTAGATTCCTTCATTACCCACAATTTATCTATTCTATAAAAAAATGTTTCATTAAGTACATACATATCAATGTGAAGATCGTACTCACTTGTATAATTTGAAATGGTTTAACTAATCTTTTAGAATATATGCACTGTATTTCTGAATCAGTGAGATGATTAATAAGAAGAGCCCATGTACTTCCAGGATCAAGAGTCCATATAATTTCTATACTGGACATAGAAGCCTATTTAAAGATGAGGGTGTAAAAAAACATTAACTACTTCGAAAATAGTAAAATTACATATTTTTTTTCAAACATAACACAAGTATGGAAAACATAAAAGTCTTATATAACTGAAGCAAAATGTTGAAAAAACAACTTTACAATAAGAAGTAATTTTGTGTAATCAATCAGTTTTGAGATGATCGAAATTTATAGCTTCGAATGATGATTTTAGTGGTGTTGTATTTTATGAGAGTTATGTGGAACTTTCATTGTCCACAAAAAAAATATCATTAACATAAACAGATAATCAGTATTCTGTTGGAAACCTTTACTTGACTGTGGATTGGATTGGTTGTAGACCAAGTAATTTATCAATTGATACAGAGAGAATTACTAGTTATTCACATATTTGGGTACATTCTAAATCTCACGAGAAATACAATAGTAAACAACTGATAAACATGAGTGACATAGCCTGAAAAATGTAACCTTTTTTTATTTTAAAAGAACGACCAAAAGTAATGTAATGATGAAAATACAAACAGATATAACCTTTGTAATGAAATATGATGACATTCAACTGAATACGTTAGATTAAGGTGCTAGATAATTAGATCATTATACAAGATCCCATAGTACGCATACACAAAACACCCGAATGACAGCTAAGAGCCAGGTCATAGAGAAAGAAAATAGTTCATTAACACAGTGTGGAATCCAGTGTACAGCACAGTGAAATCAGTAGTGGAAGGGAGTTTACATACGATTTACTGGCTTATACATTTCACAAAGCTGAATGTTTTTTTCACTTACTGTCCAATTATGTCACTTTAGCTGGTTATACGTGTATAACTTATAAAATTCTAGTATAGTTATGAAGTTACGGAAAGGAAGTTTAGAGTGCTCTAAAAATTACTTTCTTTTAAAACACGGAACGAAGGATGACTATAGATGATTATGATGATGACATTGGATAAAATTTTGCCAATGATTCGTAATAACAGTTGAACACTATTTAAGATTCGTATATATTTCATTTGACCTGAAAAATTGATATGTTTTCTAGTACAGTTGATAAACTACGGACTTATATCTCCGCAGCAAGTGAAAAAGGTATGACAGTTGAATAGAAATCTTGTCAAATTCTCTGCAAAATAAGCAAATAAATTGACAAATAGAATGATCATTTGTGACTTATGTGTAAAGTAGGTACTGATGATATCCAACACACTAATGAAAGCGTTGGAATCGAACTGCTCGATCCAAAGGACATACCATAAAAATCATCCGTTTGGATTATGAATTTTCTACAACTAATTAGTGTTAATATTTCACTACATCTAAATTAATCGTGATTGATGTATCGCTTAGAATGATTTGTCAGCTATTTTTTAAGCTCAATACATGAAAATAAGAGCACAGTTGAGTTGTACACCGATCTGTCGATAAAAGTAGAAGCATATTAACTAAGAGATAAAATGGAAAGTTGGTAAGACGACACTGAAATAAAAAAGAAATCTTACCTGTTGTAGTCCTTCCGGTTGTGAATTATCTAAATACATGACAAGTACATTGATCACAGGTCTTAGTGATTGTGATAATAATCCCATCTAAATAAAATTAAATATGATCCATGGATAGAAAAGGATATATCAGCTTACTTGTATACAAAGAGGTCCGATCTCTTTAAGTAATCGTTTCTGTACACGATAAGATGTAAGGTATTTGTATGACTTTGATGCCGACGCACTATGAAAGAAGCAGAGAAAACAAACCATCTGAAGTGGAAACTCTCAACATGTGGATATTCGTAAAGGAAGAAATCAGGATATTTTGGAGAATATCATGATAAAACACAACAATAATTTCTAACAGAATGATTACACCGATGCAGTTGAACAGATAATTTTCTAACAGAATCCAGACATGAATTCCGGTCTAATAGGTTTGACCAAATAGAACCACTGGTTAACCAAGTACATTTTTAAGAAATAAAAAAATATCAGTGATAATATGCGCTTAATTAGCAATTGTATTATAAAGATTCAGATTAGTAGTAAATATATCATATACATGATAAGGACAGGGCTACTAACCTTACAGTAGCACCACGTGTTAAAAATAACACCAAAGGAGGAATTATCTCAGACGATGCACGTTGTCGAATAAAGTTTCCAGCAACTTTAGACAATACAGTCAAGAGGTCGAAAGCCTGTAATAAAAGACATAGATAAAGTGTGATGGAAAAATATAAATTCTAAAGGATAACCATATTGTTTACGCTGAGAACTAGGAGTCCTTTCAGACTACCATTTTTTTTATTTTGAAATACATTTTCAACGAGTGACCATTTAAACCTAAAGTAAGAAGCATTATACTTGATGATATATGGAGTTATCATTTAGCAGACTTAATGTTTGAAACATTTACCTACATTTATCATGAATGAAGTTGAAGGAACTAATAAATTGTCCAAGATGAACATTTTGATGTAATGTGCTAGGATTCAACCAGCATCAACTATGACATTTGGATAAACCATTGACGCAGATACGAATAAACAGTTTATTGAATATTTTCATTTCTTTTCTTGAATAGTTTATGTTATATCCCCTGGTGAATTATGAATGGTAAATCTGAGGTCTATTTATGGACAAATGTAATATGCCTATTTCCTATTGTATAGTCGTTAAACAACTGACCTAATCGTATTCGTGTTCCTCTTATCATAACTTTATTTTGACCTTTGAACTATTATTATTGATTACTTTCCCCCTATTCACAGCCACATTTGATCAATTATTGTACAAATATTATTTTCTATTTTTTGGTATAATGTGGTCTGTTTGGTTTGTATATAAACCCAGTATGTTTGTGAATAATGATTCATATTGCCGAGGCTGTTATTTGTGTTCTGGACTTAACTGGCTGGGCGAGACATATAGCAGGGCCGATACGCACTCAAGATTGCTTATACAATTTTATGTATCACTGGACGTTTATGTATTAAGAGGGCATACGTTATAACAGTTTACATAACATAATGAAGAAATCAAGCGATTAATTAGTGTGTACCATGATTGTACTATTATCTTAAAAGAATGGGTTAAAAAGAAAATAACTATAGTACAGTATATATATATATAATCCTATAAAACTTACTTTTTCAACAACTATAGCATGATGATCATGAAATCGTTTCATTAAGGAAGTCCATATTTTGTGAACAATCGGTAATAATAAATCTAAAATTTTAATAGGATAACAAACATATATAACTTGATATTTAGAAAAATTACTATTTTGTGATAATAACAATGTAGAATATTAATTAAGTGGTTAAAAGCATTCAAATTTTAGCTCAATATGTTGTTACAGATTGGTATTCATTTAATTCATTTTACAAAGATGGGTGGTACAAGTAGCCGTTAGTTCGTGCAACACAGCTGAGTATAAATTCATTTAGTATTGTTTGTTTGAATCTTCCCATTGATGTTTAGGACTGCAACTCGTCAGTGTCTAATTGGCATATGTACATACTGTGCGTATTGCCTCAATATAGCCTTAGTTCACAAGCATGGTAAGCAGAGATGGATAGTGGCTAGCAGTGGAATCCAGGACGCGCGTTTCGTCGCACAAGCAAGTGGCTATCATGACTCAGTAGCTGAGTAGATAACGCGATGGCGTTTGAAGTGAAAGGTACTGGGTTCGAGTTCCAGAGTGAACATCAACTCTGAGATGCAGGCACATCCAGCTGACGAGCTCCAAATAGGACGAAACGCGCGTCCTGGATTCCACTGCTAGCCACTATCTATCAGAGCTGAGCATATTAATTGATAATTGAATTAATTATTAGAATAGTAAGGACATATTTTAACTAAAAGGCCAACTAGACAGACAATTGAAGTATAGTTATTTCAAAGCATATTTATAAAGAAAAGAGTTTAGAAAGGATTGGTGATTTGTTATCAGATGCTTAGTTACTGAACATTATCATGTAAATGGGTTAGAGGCAAGGTTTTTAAATATATTCGATCGTCCCAATTTGTATTCTCCTTCACTTCAGTAATATCGGCTTTAGTTATCTTGTTATTGGCATTCAGATCTCAACAATATTACGGATATGTAAATACATATAGCTAACGAGATCCAAACACAACTAAAAAATATGTCCCTGTTTTCTCTGCAAACAAAAATACAGTGTTCCAAAATATTTTTAAATCAGTTATTAGTGAAGTTAACTGGGTTTTTTTTCCATCATAGATGAATAATATTGTAATACATTAAATGACAAATATTATTAACATTATTGTTGGCTGCTTGCTTGAATATCTGGGCTACCTGTTCCTGCCATTTAGATATTTCAACAAACTATCTATTTTCGTTTGTTTCAACACATCATTATGTTTGGTATTCGCATAACCTATTCAGGCACGTTTACGACCTTCGGCTGTACAAGTTACTAGAAAGTACAATCAGAGACATTGTGATGTCTGACAAAATACACTGAAAAGAATGAACATTATTCAGATGTCGATTCCTGAACTGCTAACATCTAACTGGAGATCACTCATTATTGATTGTCAGGATAGATCAAGAAATAAGAGAAGGAAACTTGTTGAAATAATATGCGCTGTGAATTCTATACTGCACCAAAACTATAATATTGAATAAAGCTATTATTAATAATAATAATAATTGCACAATAGCATGGGAAATCAAGCATCATGCAATTCGGTTGATACAAATATAAATATAGAGTCTCTCACTGGTTTCACTTTCTAACGTCAAACATCCTTCTCTTAAAACATTCATAGAAAGTATACGTAGTTTAGGATTTCCATCAGCCATTAAATGTATACATCGTAACATGACCTGAAATTATATGAAGAATTGAAAGAAAGAAAAAAAATATATAATTTGAGATAGCTGAAACAATAACACATAATAAATCTCTAAGGAAAATATTAGTAATGAAATACAAATTAATGAACTGAAGAAAACAAAATCAAATGACAAGAAATTATAATAAACCTGAAAAGCTTGGAACAATTAACAAAATTATAGTAATAATGGAATGACAATAATAATATTAAGCCAGTGGTAACGATAACGATAAGACGTACTTCTTTTGTACACATAGTTCTGGTTTAAGCTCCTAAAAAAATAGCCGAAGCTCTTACCATCCATGAACTTAAACCAGAACTATGCGTACAAAAGAAGAACGTCTTATCGTTATTGTTACCATGGCCTTATAATTATAGTAGTAAAAAAAATTTAGAAGTTTGTAACTCTTTGTTAATATTCAGGACTGAATTAGTGATTTATTTCAATCCTATCCACTTCGACTCCTGCAGCAAAATTCAAAAAGCAAAGTTTATTTTTTCCAGAAGGAGAGATAATATACTGTGCTTATCCGACATGTTAATTTAACGCCAAATAATAAGCGAGGGCTGTTGACGAGTGTACATTATTAGATAAGATTTGAATAGACTTTCTGTGGGTAGATATATATTTATATATGTTATAACTTGTGCCGCCTGGATGCCTTGTTAATGTATAACGAGACAATATCGCCAATTAGAGAGCAGTGAATTATCGATCAGACCAATAACACATGAAACCCGTACGAGCAGTCTAGAGTACTTGTCGGTCTTGCTTTCTGCCTAGCCCAGCCAGTTAAGTCCAGAACATCAATAACAGCCTCTGCGGTATGAATAATTATATTTCAAACATACTGAGTTTATATATCAATCAAACAGACCAAATCGTACCAATAAAATAGAAAATATCCTTTGTACAAGATTTAGCTAAATGTGGCTGTGAATAAGGGGAACAGTAATTAATAGACTGGGTATAATTCAGGAATGGTAAATCGTATAGTAATGGTCTATGGGTCAAAATAAAGCTTATAATAAAAAGGGACATGAATATGAATAGTTTAGTCATTTAACAATTATACGATAAAAATATATGCATGGTATTGGTTCATAGACGGATCCCAAAGTTACCATTCACTATTCTTATCAGGAAATAATATATTACTGGTTTAAGAAAACTGACTTGATTGATTTAACGCGATCGATATTTATTTATGGATGAATTTATGCACAGAATTCGATTGGGATTAACCAGTAAAAGCTCCCTATTAATCCTTAGTTTTCTCATTCAAGCAGTAAGTTACGCTCGCATACAGCAAACTTGTACACGGGAAGCAGAATTGGATGACATCAATACAACAACTAGGGGCTATTAAAAACAAACTTCTTGAACATAGGTCTCGATATTTTAGATAGTGGTTACTAATTATATCAAAGATACACGTTTCGTCATATTTGGGGCTAATAAGTTGTACGTACTTGGATACCAGTAATAAACATTAACGACCATATATATATATATATATATATATATATATATATATATATATATATATATATATATATATATATATAATATGTCGATAGCATAAATAAGTATACAACTTGGACAGCATATATATGAAGTCCTCGAAGTACTTATTACATTTTCGAACCTAAAAAAGTGGGATTTAAACATATGTGAAAAAGAATATTAATTTTGAGACTATTTGTCTGATACATTTTTGGTTACTAGGTAATCTTTTATATGAAAATACTTATGTAGAAAAATTAAACTATACTTTTATCAATAGAACGGGTTAGTGAAGATTGTTCAGCCTTCGGTTATCCATAAATAGCGATGGAAGATCGCCATGGAAAATAGTGAATTGATCGAAGTCATATATTAATATCGCTGGGTGATAAGCTTATTGATTTGGAGTTCAAGAGTTCATACGCGAGACCAACATTCTTGGGTTTTATTTCATATAACGTGGTCGTGGTTGCATACCACTGGGGAGCTCACAAACTAAAACGATTAACCTAACCATTGCTTCCTGGTTTTTGATACTGATTTAGCTAACATCAATCTGTTATGTAAACTGCAAATAATGTTCTATCACTAAAATTAAAGTACTCACAAGACGAAAATGAGAGGATTTTGATTATCACTTCCTCTAGCCTATTGATAGTTGGTTATTATTTTTGTTACTGGATCGTAAGTTAGAGTACATCTCAAAATGTTGATTGACTGCTCGATGATATGTGTGATAAGTTTATACAATTTCATGGTCTTATTTGTGTTGTCATTATTTATAGTCTTAACAATTTTTAAACAATTTCGTATTTACCTGGAATACTATCATAAACAAAGATATATTATCTATTATAATGGGTAATTAGTAGATATGCAAAAGTTTATTATAACCCACATAGAACAACATTTACGTACTTCTTCAACTATTTGTAAATGATCGGGAAATGTATGATTTTCATCGTTATCCATATCATCATTCATAGGATCCATCTTACTTTTCTCTGATTGATTTAAGGTATCAATAGAATTGACTTCATTAGTTTGACTAATCGGTTCAATATGATGAAGTGAACGTGTCTCAGACACAAGACTGATTGTTTTTTGATATAACTCAGTGAGAGGTGATTTGCTACATTCTGAGTAATTCATCTAAGTAAATAAATTTTTATATGTAACATTTAACTTAGAATAATATATATTTCAAAGTAATTCTATGGAGGATAACATTTATAGTAATAACGTAATGTATTAATTAACGAAAATAAATTGACCAAGGAAAAACAACAAATGCAACAGGATAAGGTGAGATTAAAAAGTTAACGTGTTTATAACAGTGCAAGTGTTCGTCATCTGTTATGTTGGTAAACATAATTTTGATAGACATTAACGCCGTTGGATGCCGTCTCAGTGGTCTATCGTTTAAGTGCTCCGGCGCGAGACTGATAGGTCCTGGGTTCGAATCTCGCGAGAGCGGGATTGTGGATGCGCACTGTTGAGGAGTCCCATAATAGGACAAAACGACCGTCCAGTGCTTCCAGGTTTTCCATGGTGGTCTAGCTTCAATTGACTCATGATTTCAACTACGAAAATACTGAAATCTTCACAAAACTCCTTCTGATCTATTTTAAAACTGTTGAAAGTAAGCAATACTCAAACAACTTTGAAATGACTGTGTTTCATCAATGACATTTCTACTAAAAAACTCAAAGCGAACTTGTATATTTGAAAGAAGCGACAGTTATAAATCTCGCATTATTCTGGTCTCTTATTTTATTTATTTATTTAAACATATAAATATTGGTACAAGGAAGCACCAGATAAATATGCGCCACACAAATCTCATTTGATTTGTGTGAGGGCTGTGATATTGACCAGGTGCCCAAACTAAAGCAGGTGGTTTTCTTAGGGGGCCACACCCGGAGCCTTTGACCTGAAGGTCTAGTCCACAAGGCAGTGGAGCATCTTAAGGAGATGCAGTCCCATGGTTAGACGCAGGGTATTAGGTAACGATGGTAAATCAGTTGATGAGGTGATAAATCTTCATCGACTGAGATGGTTGGGCCATGTGTTACGTATGCCTGAACACCGATTACCACGACGCGCTATGATGACTAGTATTGGGGACGGTTGGAAGAGAGTTAGGGGCGGCCAAACCAAAACATGGCATCAGTGTTTGAAGTCACTAACTTCTAGTCTGAGCCATGTTGGTAGATGCAGACTACCTGGTTGGGGTCCGCGTGACTATCGTAATAAATGGTTGGAGACTCTAGGTGACATGGCTCAGAATCGATCACAATGGCGTAGGTGTATACACTCTTTATCTTCCCTTAAACCTTGAGATTAAAATTGCTTCATATCTCTCTTCCTTCCTGTACTATATCCTTCTATACAATCTTTCTTTATATACTACCATCACTAAATTAATTGCTTCTATGAATCCGGTGTTCATCTTGTTGTGCTAAAGAGGTATGGCAACTTGGACCGATGCATATATGTGCCTGGTCCTACGTTGTAGCTGACTGACTGACTGACTGTCCCATGGTAACCGATGACCAACAATCGGTTCATACGCCATTTGTTCCCTCAGGATACTGGAGCCCATGTGCACCATTCTAGCCTCTAATTTTTAGTATTTAATTACTTTATTTTCTTAATTTTCAATTCTTTTTTTATTATTGTATCATTTGTCTTCTGAGCTTTGCTAATCTCACTTAGTCAATTTAGCCAATTTTGCGCTTGTTCTTACGCAACTTTGATTTTTTTTTCACTTTTTAGAAACATTTCTCCATATCTTTCGAAATTCTTCTCGAATTCTCATGTATGATAACAGATACTCATTCACAATAGGACTTTACAATTCCCCCATACTTTTTGTTAGTCTATACATTTTTATGAATATGATGCAAATTATGGAAATTGGTTGTAAATAATCATTATTATCGTTTCTAGGTTGTAAGCAGTTGAAAGGAAATCATGAAATGAATAGACTTATATTACCATAGCTTTAAATCGCAAGTTGATCTTAGATAAACCAACATTGAAAATCAGGATTCACTGGACTGATGTTTCGTTTCAGTATGTGATGCCTCAGCGGGGTAGACCCACAACCCCTTCACAGTGCATCAAACTCAGGTGTGCTCACTAGTGAATAGCTTGAAGATGCAATTCCTAGGGTTCTAACGAGAAACTGTGACCAGTGAAGTTCGACCATATCAGATGTCAGACAGTTACCAACGGCAGATAGTCGCCTAATATCGTGAATGTATTAAAGTTAGACTTTACTACTGTTGGATAACGGCTTAGTAATCAATAGGTTAAGCGTTCATACGAGAGATCAAAGGCTCTGGGTTCGATTCCCTGTGGAGAAGTGGTGGACGCGAGCTCTTGAAGAGTCCAACTCTAGGAAAAAAACAGCTGATCAGTACTTCCTTGTTTTCAACGGTAGTTTACCCAATGCTCAATTCATTCAAAATTATCAAATCAAAACTTAGTGATGACACCTATTATTCAGCTACGTTTGTTGTTCTTAGTTTAGTCAAATGTATCTGCGAAAAAATTTGTATGCTGAGTAAATAGATTAATTATATAAACATTTACCGTTTTCTGTTGATTAGTTATTGATTCGACCACTGGAGATGTATCAGTTGTTTGGTCTGAACACTTGTTGTTTCTCGTTAATAATTCATTCCATTTACGACATGTTTGCATTAATTGATAAAATGGTGTAAGGAAAAGTTCTGTTGTATATTCATAAGTAACATCTAATGATGAAAGCATCTGGTAAGGAAGAAAAGAATAATTCATTTAAACATGACAGCTATGCAAAGTTTATAAAAAAAGGGGACTAAAACACGTTTGATGAAGAGTATTTGTAGATCACGTTGAGGATTTGGAAGGTACATGGAATATACTCATTAAGACACAAAAAAAGAAAGATTAGTTCAGCGAAGATTTCTCTTTTCGGCGAATTCCTTTTCAAAGTTTTACAATCGTAAATCTATACTTATTTTTCAAGATGATAATAATTACAATAATAGTGATAGTAAAATTCTGTTAAATATGGTAACGGTGAGGTAGAATACACAAAGATATTAAAACGTTATTTTTATCAGGAAATATAATGATAGTTTTATTGTAAAGGGCTTAAGTATTCATCATGTAGATAAAGAAATTATAATTGGGAAAGGAAGGTCCAGTATGATAAGATAAAATGTTGAAATCGAGATGAAATGTAATCAGAAGGATCATAGAAACAGAGATAAACCAGTTGGGGTAAAAGGTCTATAGAGAAGATAGAAGGAGATGCAGATGGCTGTGAAGGAAGTAAAGCGTAAAGAAAAAAGAAAATTATGAGACTTTAAGACCATGGTAGAAGAAGAGGTTATACCAGTTTTTTCGGACACATAACCCTGGTTTTTCTAAGTGTATAGCTAGTGCTTCGGCAATGTTAAGAAGGTGGGGTATAACTGCCTTTGAACGCCTTACACTTACCTTGTGGATGACGTTAAGGGCACAGTCCGCTTTGATTGAGTGACCTGTGTTCACAGTGTTTGATTATTGAGCCATTACTGCCTCTTTTTAGCCAAGCCGGGTGATGCTCTTGAATTTTTTTTGGATAAAATACTCATCGCACGACCTATATACCTAGCTCCGCACAAACAGGTAAATTGATCAATACACACAGGGTTGATCGAATGCGATAATCTATCCTTAAGGTTAATGTTCTGTTGGAGAACACTTCGCAAATTTGATACGAAGAAAGTTCTTTTTTAGAGAATCTATCTTCATGATGAGTGTTCAATGCCTTAACAATAAAACTATCATTATTTTTCCTGATAGAAATAACGTTTTCATACCTTTGTTTATTCTGCCTCACTGTTACCATATTTAACAGAATTTTATTATCACTATTACTGTAATTATTGCCATCTTCAAAAATAAGTATATAATTACGATTGTATAGCTTTAAAAATGGCAGTTGCAGTATTTAAGGAAGTAAATGGTTTAATTGTAAAAGCATTCATTACCTTAATACATAATATCATCAAGATTTACTTGAGGTACATTTAGTTGGTCAGTCTTATATCAGATGGAACAAGCGTCCTGAATTCTATTGCTAACCACATTCCATGTATTCTATAAAAAACCCAAGTTTTATCGCTGTTTCATAATTTGAGCGTATTTTCTTAATTCCTTAATCATCTCTAACGGTTACACAGAATGTATAGTTCGTGCATTAATATTTTGTCGCGTACGAATAAAGAGCTGGTGTTCAAATCCACCGTTACACCAAATAGTAGAACACTTCGATCTATGTGAGACTGAAATTCAAAACATACGCATCGCAGTATATATCTTAAAGATCATTCAACAGGTATAGATTAACCCATTTGGCTTCGAGCCACATTCGTAGTGTGTTGGCTAAAGATACTAGTCGGTTACCAAAACCGTAGTCAACAGAGTGGCGTTCTAACCTCAGAATTAGAGGCCGGAAGTGTAACACCGTAACCACTGAATCACAGCTCGACAAAATACATGATTTTGTAAATTTAATTAATAGCTGGATATCAGCTGATACTTTCTGAACAAATTTAGCACAGTTTATCCAGTAGTTTGAGTTAAAATCAAAGGGAAAAGCCATAAACATAACGATCAAACAAGAATCAAATGAACCTTACATGCTTTCCAAATTCATCAACTGTTGCTGTGAAATAGAACAGAAAGTAGCACTAACTAATCCCATTAACCCTTCATATATATATATATATATATATATATATATATATATATATATATATATATATGAATATCTTGGCTTAACTACAAGTGTCATGAATTGTTTAAAGGATCACAAGTTCCGAAAATTCACACAAAAAATTAAACAATTTGAAACAGTGTGAGGAATAGCTAGTCATAGGCACCGTAAATATCGATGTAGAATGTGCTCAAATTTGGAAATAAGTAATTTAGAAAGGTTAAATTAAACTTTTTTGATTTAAGTTTTAATATTTATGAACTCAAATACATAGATAAGTTAAGCAAAGTACGGAAACTGATAATTTTCTTCGTCAATAACTGTAACAGAATCAATGTGGTTACAGCATTTCCTGATGTGATTTAGCTCGGCAGTGAATGAAATCATGAACTGATGAAATGTTTTGATTCAGGAAGTATGTGTGGCTAATGGTTGAACATGCGTGACAGACGTTCCAAACATCTCTCATTTGAAGAATGCTCAGAGAGTTGTCGGATAAATTATTGTCTTAACTTACATCTGCTTCTCAGCTGTATACAAGACTGAAAAAAACTCCTTTTTTGGTACATAGATACTCTTCAATTATCGACAGTGTATGTAGGAAAATATAGAGAACTGTAAGCCAGAAAGTGTGGGCTAAGTTAGTAAACTGTTGAGTAACAATTTGACTAAGCCCTGGGAAATTCTATTTGAAAAATGTTTTCAACAAATTTATAATGTAAAGGTAAGAAAATAAAAAACCTAAGATAATCAAATTACTTTTGTAACCATCGGTTTTAAAACTGGCAGTACATCGATTGTGCAGTATTCAAACAGAGTGTTTGTAGCATTACAGGCTGATAATAAGCTTTGCTCAACTTCACTCGACAGAGAAGTTGCATTGCTACCATTTGATGAATTTGTTATGGTCAATAAGTTAACGCGATGTAAATCTAGAGTTATACTGGAAACTAAGTAGTCAGCATTAACTGTAATCAGTTCACTTACGCTGTAATCAAAAGAATGAGAGAGAGAGAGGAAAGTAAGTGATTTTCATTGTTTGGAATATAATTTACAGAGAAGAACCAAACCAATTCATTGACTGAATTGTAACAAAGACATCCAGAGTTTAGACATGAAACACATCAGAATTGTGGATTACTAATGGAGTTCTGAGCAAAAATAATACTTTATGTCGGAAGTTGTTCGTCGATCATCATAAATATCTGCAGCTTTAATTACGATGGGCACACAAACTTCAAGTTGTTTATCACGAAAGAACGACTGAGAACAAATGAATTAATAAATACTACTATCTTTCAATGTTGGTCTATCGGTTAAGTGCTCCAGCGCGAAACTGGTAGGTCCTGGGTTCGAATCTCGCGAGGCGGGATCGTAGACGCGCACTGCTGAGGATTCCCATAATAGGACAAAACAGCCGTCCAGTGCTTCCAGGTTTTCCATGGTGGTCTAGCTTCAATTGACTCATGATTCCAACTATGAAAATACTGGAATCTCCAGAAAACCCCTTCTGATCTATAATATAAAATAATCTAGTAATTTGTTGTGATTTATAAAAATCTCAGTCAATTTATAAATTGTGTAACTGATTTATGATAAAGTGACACAATGTTGGACATACAACAAATGGGAGGACCTTATTTCAGTCAGCGACAACGTAGGACCAAGCACATATATGCATCGGTTCAAGTTGCCATACCTCGTTAGCACAACAAGATGAACACCGGATTCATAGAAGCAGCCAATTCAGTTGTGTTAATATATAAAATAAAGGTTGTATATAAGGATATTGTTTAGGAAGGAAGAAAGTTATGAAGTAATTTTAATCTCAGGGTTTAAGGGGAGATAAGGAGTGTATACACCTACGCCATTGTGATCGATTCTGAGCCATGTCACACAGAGTCTCCAACCATTGGTTACGATGGTCACGCGGACCCCAACCAGGTAGTCTGCATCTACCAACATGGCTCAGACTAGAAGTTAGTGACTTCAAACACTGATGCCATGTTTTGGTTTGGCCACCCGTAACTCTCTTCCGACCATCCCCTACACTAGTCAACATTGCACGTCGTGGTAATCGATGTTCAGGCATACGTAACACGTGGCCCAACCATCTCAGTCGATGAAGATTCATCACCTCATCAACTGATTTATCGTCATTCCCTAATACCCTGTGTCTAACCTCACTATTACTTACCCGGTTATCCCAGCAGATGCGAGCAATATTTCTAAGGCATCTGTGGTCAAATACTAGTAACCTACGAGTATCTTCTACTCTTAATGGCCATGTTTCACAGCCGTAAAGTAGAACAGAACGAACTGCTGCGCAATATACTCGTCCCTTATTTGATAGACGGATATCTCATCTTCGCCATAGGTGACGTATGTTTGCAAAAGCCAAACGAGTTTTTTGAATCCGTGCTGAGATTCCGTCAGACACCAACCCATTAGGGCTGATCAGACTTCCAAGATAAGTAGAGTTGTCGACGCATTCGACTACTTCACTACCCATCCTTAGTTCAGGTGTTGACGCAGGCCAGTCCTGGAGTAACAATTTACATTTGGATGGGGAGAAACGCATCCCAAACATCCTGGCATTATTACTGAGTTCCAACAGAAGACTCTGCATTTTGCCAGCGTCTTCACTAAACAGGACTATGTCATCTGCGTATTCTAAGTCGATAAGTGAATCTCCTGGTAGAAGATCAATTCCTGACAATTCAGTCGACGAGAGTGCTATTTCCAGCAACAGGTCTATAATGAAGTTAAACAAAAATGGGGATAGTGGACAGCTTTGACGGACACCACTTGAGGTTGTAAAATCATATGACAGTTCGCCATAAGCTCTCACTCGACTGGTAGTGTCCGAGTAAAGAGCCTTCACAAGGTTTATGTACTTCTCAGGTACACCTTTCAATGACAGACACCGCCACAGAACCTCTCGGTCTACAGAGTCAAATGCTGCTTTTAAGTCAAGAAAAACTATCATTGTCGGACGCCGATAAACATGTCTGTGCTCTAAAACTTGACGAATGGTGAATATTTGGTCGATACAGCCACGACCAGGTCTGAAGCCAGCCTGATTTTCTCGTGTTTGGAGTTCACGAGTCTTAGTTAGGCGCCCGATAATTAAAGAGGCTAGTATTTTAGATGCTATGTTAGTCAGACTAATCCCTCTATGGTTATCACAGGATGATTTTGGCCCCTTCTTATATATTGAGACAATCAGAGATTGTGACCAGTCAGATGGGATTACGTCCGTTTCCCAGATTTTAGCCAGAATATTAGTCAACCTAATCGCTAAAACTGGACCACCATATTTAAAGACTTCTGGAGCCAATCCATCTGGACCAGCTGCTCTTTCTCGTTTCAGATTACTTATAGCCTTTTGAAATTCAAGTAGGGTCGGGGGGCCTACTTCAATGTTCCATTCAGGTTTTCTGGGAATAGTGGGTAGTTGTGCAGTAGCCGAAGGCCAGCTAAACTGCTCCTTAAAGTGCTCCGCCCATCGTTCTAAACGTTTGGGTTGAGAGCAGATAAGGGTTCCATCTTTTTCCGAGATCGTCTCACTTACACTTGACTTCTTAATTCCGGTTTCTTTTATTAGTCTGAATAGTTGCCTAGTGTTGCCTACAGCCGCTGCCTTTTCCATCTCTTTTGCTTTCGTTGCCCACCACTGCTCACGATCGTTCCTTAGACTTTTAGTTAACCTAGATCTAATTTGTTTACGCTCTTCGTCGTGTTCAGAGCCTGATGGGATGAGTTTACGCGAATCCAGAAGTGAAATAGACTTAGAAGAAATCCACTGGTTTTTTGGAGCCCTATGGTTTAAATGACTAATAGATGTGACTGCTGTTTCTACAGCTGTTCGTATGTCTTTCCAAGCAGCATTTGGGTCAGTCTCGTTTACAGAACTGCCTAGATGTGAACTCAGTTGTTTCTGGAATTCGCATTTGGCTTTCTCGTCCTCCAGTTCAATCCTAATGGGTCTTCTTAGTGTACTTTTCCTGCGTCCATTGAGGCGCAGACAAATGCGCGCTCGTATTAAAGCGTGATCAGAGTCTAAACAAGTATTCCAATACGAGCGACAATCTTCTATTGAGCCTCTCCAACGATGACTGATGACAATATGGTCTATTTGAGTCCATCGTTGGTCTGGTGCAGGTGGTCGCCATGTTAGACGATGTCTCTCCTTATGCTCAAAATTAGTGCTTGCTGGAAATAAACGATTGTCTGAGCATAGTTGCAACAGACAATCACCATTATCGGTTCGTTGATCCGGAATACTAAAACACCCAGCTAAATGTCTTTCTGTTTGATTTAAGCTGCCTACCTGGGCATTAAAGTCAACCGCTACGACTACTATGTCTGAGCGCTTAGCTTTCTGAAGAAGCTCAGAGTTTTCTGTAAAAGTCATCTTACACTTCATCATGGCTGCAGTCAGTGGGAGCGTAGGCAGAAACGACGAAAAGGCAACGACGTGTGTCCCTATCCTTCCGAGTTCTTACGGAGCCATTTAGCCGGACAGCACACAGGCAACTGTTAACGGGGATCCATTTTAATAGTGCCTGTTCTGTCTTTGTACTTAGTGCTATGCCTACACCTGCAAGTCCACGAGAACTAGCCAACGGGTCGCTAGATACACGGAGGGTGTATTTCGTTGGCTGTCCATTTTGGTGAGGTGAGGTCAAGTGAATGACCACACTAGGATCCTGTATGCGTGTTTCGGAGACACAGCACACATCAATGGTACGAGATTCTAGGGTTTTAGCTAAGGAGGCCTGTTGACCGATTTGGCATGGGGTACGTACGTTGAAGGCTCCAATGTGTAGTTTGGAGCGAGGTTTTAGTAGACCTGGGACAGCGTTTCGCGCACTAGAATCGTTGGCCATGGTGACACTTGAGGAGGAAACCGGAAGAGGAAGTTTAGTGTTGAAAGTCACGGTAGAAGGAATAGTAGGAATTGAAGAAGGAGATTGATCATGAATATGGTGGTCTTGAGTGCTGTTAGAGGTATGAGGGCAGTTATCACTTCCCGGTTGCCCACACCGTGGAAGGGTTCTTCTAGGGGTACCTGAAAAGGAAATTGGGCTAGAAGTGGTCTTAAAGACCTGAGAGCGTGACAGCAGTGCCCAAGGGACAACTGCTTGAGGTCGGTCACACACGACCTTTTTGTGGGTAGTTTTTGTGTTAGCTCCGTTCTTCAAAGGACCTTACCGCCGGAGACGGATATCTGTGGGATAAGGCGAGGTGTGTATTTTTAGGGTCGACCTTTTCTAACCCCACCCCTCCTTGTGGGAAGGCAGCATCGCTGTCATGCTGGTTGTCTGAAGGTAACACCTTACTGCTGTCACACCTCTGTACAGTCAGCAGTACGACTTCGCCTTCGGACCTTGGGTTTGATGCTTTTAGTCTCACCACTCTTCAAACGACCTGTCTGGCATGGTAGGACCTTGAGGAACGATTGTTCCAGCCAGTATAGCTCGGTTGAATCATCACGATAGGCAAGCCCGACTACCACGTCAAGGTAGCAGCAACGGTCGGGACCTTATTTATGTCACAGGAAATAGTGAAAATTTATAAGATCAGTGAAGAGAATATAAGAAAAGGGGAGTAAACGTTAATTAGCAAATAATATCCAACAAATGGCTTTTTCTGATAGCGTAAAGTTCTCTGAGGTAGATAGTTTAATCATTAAGTGGAAATAGCCAAATACTATGTACAAAATATATAGTGATTTTCGGAAATCAGCTTACATCAAGTCCTCAAGTATTCCATAAAATTAGTTAATCAGGCATATTATTATTTTTATTTATTTGAACACATAAATATTGGTACAAGGAAGCACCAGATACATATGCGCCTCACAAATCTCATTTGATTTGTGTGAGGTCTGTTATACTGCCCAGGTGCCCAAACTGAAGCAGGTGGTTTTCTTAGGGGTCCACACCCCGATTCCTTGACCTAAAGATCTAATCCACAATGTAGTGGAGCATCTTAAGGAGATGTAGTCCCATGGTAGCTGGTGACCAGCAACTGGTTCATACGCCATTCGTTCCTTCAGGATACTGGAGCCCATGTGTACCATTGTTTTGGAATCAGGGTTTTCCAACTCCCCTAGGTGGACTTTCCGTATCCACCAACCCGGTTAAAGCGCCGGACATTCGCTTTTCGTCCTCTCAATTTCGTAATTAACACCCCCGCCATGAGGAGGCAATGAGTAGAACTTCCCTGGCAGAGGCTATATACGCGTGGCCATATGAGAGCATTTCGAGAGGGAGAGCGGACTCTCTTCACTTTCGGCCGTACCAGGGCATTTGGGGGCAAATACAGTGAAATTATTAAGCTTGATAGATGGTTCAAACACGCTTTAGCAGTTCAACGTTTGACATAATAAAATATTATGTAAGTGATACAAATAGAAACTCTAAGAAATTTCAACTTATGATTTGAAATGAATTGTAGAAAAAAAACACCATAAAACTAACCTTGAATATTTACAATTCTTAGCTACTTGATCTAAACAAACTCGTGCAGTTTGACCGATTAAATCAGAACGTGAAGCAAATGATACAGTTGGAAGTAAACCAATACGTAAGCATTCAGTGAAATGTTGATCAGTATGATTTTTTCCAGTGACATTAGTAACTGTTAATGTATTCAACTTTTGGTGTGTTTTTTTTTCAATGAATAGAAAATATTATGAGGTAAATAAGTAGTAAATTATGAAGGATAAACAGGAAAGTATTTGTACTGGTTGTTTGTATTTAACTCTTTCCGTAAATTTTTTACATTTGTAGTGGCTGGTACTTTGTTAAGCCCACATAGGTTATTCTAGCTTCTATACATACCAACTTATTCATTCTTATCAAGCCACATTTTTATCTTGTCAATTATTTGCTTATTAATCCTTGTCGCTTTTACATGATTGTGAGTGTCAGTTGCACACCCTATTCATTACGTGTCTGTAAATTATTTTTGTCTGAATATAAATGTTGAGCTACGCTTGATTCGAACGAGTTGACTCACTCTTCTTCTTCTTCTCCGGTGCGTATCACTTCGTTTCCCTGATTATCAGTTCAGAATAACCAGTGTGGGAAATATAAGTAATCAAAATTTATCCTAGTAGTTGTGTTATTCCGTTATTCTCTAGGGTGAATTAAGTCTATAATTACATACGACGGTTAGCGGCACGCATATTTTGATAACAATCAGCATACAATTTTACTGGAGTCAGATAGTGGGCCACTAAACATTGTCTCAGCAACTACAAAATTCATGAAATCTTTTTATGATCATAATGAGGTTTATTACTCCTTGAATTTGATAAAAATATTTAAGAATTTTGTAGTGTTTTTTCGATTTGTCTTACTAGAATTGATTGATTGAACAATGGACTAATTAAAATATTCTGATTTAGTGTTGAACAGAATAAACAATAGGGGTTTCCTGTGGAGATTTTTAGTAATTTTTATGTATAGTTGAAATTATGAATCAATTGAAGCTGGACCACCATGGAAAACCTGGAAGCACTGAATGGCCATTTCGTCCTATGGTGAGACTCCTCCTCGCGAGGTGGGATCTTGGACACGCATTGCTGAGGAGTCCCACAATAAAACGAAACGGCCGTCCAGTGCTTCCAGGCTCTTCATGGTGGTCTAGCTTTAATTGACTCATGATTTCAACTATATATAAGAATAGACAATACTTAGAACACTATTGTGATAAGATTCAGTCAATTTCTTCGAATTAAACTACCATTGAAAAAAAGACTGATTATTTGGATAGAGATTGACTTCTTTTGTGGATTACATTTATGTGTGTCCCTATACACACGCATACATAGTACATAATGTATACGCAATAATCCATAGCTTTAAACATCATAATAAAGAATTGTAAATTGGTAGTAATTTGGAAAAGGAATCAGTATTGTTATTAGTCAATGGCTCATTATAAAGAAATAAGATCAAAAATGAAAAAAAGGAAAGGTTTTTCTCCCAGGAACCTAGGTAATAGATCCAAACTAACGGATCATAAGTTAATGAGTAAACAAAATCACAAATTATTTAATCCTTCCAGTTAATACTACTATATTGATCAAATTGGAATGTGGAGAATGGAGTGAACTTTGTTTTATTACAAATAGTTGGAGGCAAAATGGTAGGAGTCTTGTGCTGGTTGAAAAAGGGTATTCGCACCGGCACCACCCAGAGATGAAGATTTCACCACCGAGCTATTCATGACTGAGTTACTTAGAGTAACTGACTAATAATAAAAAGCTAATTTCATGTTTTCCAATTCATAGGGCTGATCAGGTTTAATCGACTAAGCTTAGATGTGATATGACATTGATTTATGCTGAGGGGAATTAATAAGTTCAAATATTTCAGTCCTAAAAGTCATTCGTTCAACTGCTATGCTGTCGAAACTCTAGATGATGAAACTTTGAATCCCTTAGGGAGCATCAGCAGCCACTAACTAAAGCTTCTTGACTGTTTTTCCCCTAACCTAACAGATTAACATTGATGGTAAGTAGTTGTAAAATTAATTAATAAATCAAGAAACTAGAATGAAATTATTTCATTACATAGATTTCTATCTATTTAATGTTAAGTAATGAATAAAAAAGCATGTGAAGCTAACCTGTGAAACAGTACAAAACATTTCTAGTAATAAACAGATTGTAATTGAATTCATTTTCACATCTCCAAGTTGATTTATTTCAGATTTTGCAGGATTCTCATTAGAATTTACATGTGGCCATGATTTATATGTACTTACATTAGACAAATGATTGGTAGATATTCTATCATTTGATAAATGTATTAGCGATGTTGAATAATCCATATCATTGTTGGTGGTAATATTGTCACTAGTAGTGTTCACATACTTAGATTGACGAGTAGGCAATGTTAATATGTCTCGATCAAAGTATAAACTCATAAGGCTTCTGAAAAGAAACAAAATATATAAACACAAAATTTAAATAAATTTCATTGATAATCAGAAGTATTATGTGTCGATTAAAAAACAGTTATGCGTATCAAGTCTTAAATTATGATAATTATGTAACGGAAGCTTGACGGTACAGTCAAATTTGTTCATTTGAAGTAGACTCGTATTTAAAATAGTAGTGTAATTGTTGAACACTATATCTATAAACTATTTGAGCATAAAGAAACCTGAGATGATTTTAAATCACAAAGGGATGTACGGAAGGTTCGCTTTCTTTCAAAATTGTATGTAACAAAACTAAAAATGGTGATCTGGAGTATGATTTCTAAAAGCTATAAACAATCACCGTTATGTACAGTTAATAGTAAGATAAGATTGTTACCATACTTGAAATCATGAACCGTTTATTAACCAACCATAAAAAAGGAGAACAGTGAGATAATATGTCAGAATTTACCGTCTATCATCATTATCAGTCACAACGTAGAACGTCGTACGTACGTACATCCGTTCGAGTTGCCCTACCACATTAGCACAGAAATACAGTTATCGATTCAAATCCCATAGTGGTAGAAGTAGTAAGAGTATAAGCGGTAATCAGAAAGATTAGGGTTTGAAGATGTTATTCGAGGAGTATAATCCAATGAAATAAATTTGAAAAGAGAAAAAAGATAGAGACATGAAGAATCCAGAAGATTAGAATTCGGCAGAACATAAAGAGTCGATGCACCTTCGCCATTGCAAACGATTTTGAGTCATGTCATTCAAGGTCTCTAACCATTGGTTGCTATCATTTCGCCGATCCCAACGAGGTAGTCTACACCTACCAACATGGCTCAGTCCACTTGTCAGTAACTTCTTGGATTTGTACCACGTTTTGGTCTGGTCACCCCTATCTTCCTTTCAACCTACTCCTACACCATAAAACATAACACATCGGGGCAGTCGGTGGTTGAGCATACGTAACACGTGTCCCAACCATCTTAACTGATGAAGTTTCACTACTTCATCAATCGATTTGCCATCCTTTTCTAGGACACGTTTTCTAACAACTGTATTACTTACCCGGTGGTCCCAGGATATACGATCAATGCTTCGAAGACACCTATGATCGAATACTAGTAGCCTACGAATATCCTCTACTCTTATTGGCCATGTTTCACTGCCATAAAGTAGGACGGAACGAACTGCTGTGCAGCAAACCCTTACTTTGTTTGCTAGACGGATATCTCGCCTACGCCATAAATGACACAAGTTGGCGAAAGCTAGACGAGCCATCTGTATCTGTGCTGAGATTTCGTCGCACACCAGACCACAAGGGCTGATGAGACTTCCAAGATAAGTGAAGTGGTCTACACGCTCAACTACTTCACTCCCTATCATTAGTTCAGGTGTCGATGCAACCCAATCCTGAAGTAACAGTTTGCACTTCGAGGGAGAGAATCGCATCCCGAACATCCCTGCATAGTCGCTTATAGTGGTCAGAAGACTCTACATTTTGTCAGCGTCTTCACCGAATAAAACTATGTCGTCGGCGTATTCAACAAGTGAATCTACCGGTAAAAGTTCAACTCCAGGAGATTGAGATGATGAAAGTGATATCTATAAGAGCATGTCAACGACAAAGTTAAACAAGAATGGGGAAAGTGGACAGCCCTGACGAACACCACTTGAGGTAACCAATTCTGATGACAGTTCGCCATAGGCTCTAACTCGACCAGTTGTGTTCGAGTAGAGAACCTTTATAAGGTTAATATACTTCTTTGGTACTCCTTTCACTGACAAACACTGCCACAGAACCTCACGATCAATGGAGTCAAATACCGCCTTGAGGTCGAGAAATACTACGATTGTGGGACGTCTGGATGTGTGTCTACGTTTTAAGACCTGACGTAGAGTAAATATCTGGTCTATACAACCACGTCCAGGTCGAAAACCAGACTGGATTTCTCTAGTCTGCTCTTAGCGACCTTTGGTTAGGCGTCGAAGTATTATTGAAGCTAATATTTTAGACATTATATTAGTCAAACTGATTCCTCTGTGATTGTCACAAGAGGACTTTTGTCCTTTTTCATAGACTGGTACAATCCCCGTCTCCACGGGGAGTAACAGGAGTAAGTAAGTAAATATGTATCGCTCTTCTCACTTCCACTTATAACGTAGCTGTAACCATATTGCAATTCTCTTAATTATGTTGATGTATGGTCATGATTTTACTATATATTATTGTATGATAGATTCATAAAATTGAACTGCATAATTAGAAGTTTTCTACCAGTGGTGTTGTGTGCTCTCATGGCTGTCGAGAGAGTAAGCGTGGGAGAACCGCATCTCAAATTATAGTCGTTAGGTGTTATTCTTGGTTGTCATCTCACTATCATAATGTCACTGGTTAGTAGAAAGTCATTGGTACTATATAGGTAATCTAAGGCGGAAAAATTAATACTCGGATTAGATTATACAGCAACTCTTCTATAATTACAGTCTAATTACATGGTCTTCAATATAATATCAACCAACCATTGTTTTGTACTTTTTATGTCGTCTCAAGACTACAAACATATAATGCGTTATGTAGCTTTTCAGGTTCACAGAGAGTTAGTTGTTCAAGCGAACAGTATGCAGATGGGTTTTAACTGGAAACCACACTGATTAAATTAACTTTCTATTTTCTAACTCAATGTAATAGATACAGGTATTAGACAAATAAATCAAGTGTAGCTGAAGTTCTGTCAAGTTATTATTTCCCTTCACGCGTACATATCAAATATTCAATCTATATAGTATAATAAAAATAAGCTTACAAACAAAGGTTTTCACGTTCACTCCATGGTATTTTATCTAATATGAAGGAAACAAAAAAGACAAATCAAATGAGTTCTTAAAAAATAAACAAAATAAATTTGAAAACAAAAGCATAGAGAGAAAGGTATATTGTAATTACTAAAAGAATGGTTACTCAGAACAATAGATATTGGGAAACTGAAGTGAATAGTTTCCATATAGATGAGATGACATGGAGTTAATACTTTGTATTCACAGTTGATTAACGCATAATATTCTTGATTATAAAAAATGGCGAGTCACAACGTACACAAATAGTGAAACATTAATAACCAAGTTATCCTACACATCCTTTTGAAGATCCATAGTCAGTAAGAAATCTAAGCATTAAAAATGGAAATCAGTTACACATAAGTACATTTACAATTCCGGAGAGAGTTACGAGTAATTATTCTGTGATAAGCCCCCAAATGCACTGGTACGACCGAGAGTGGGGAGAGTTCACTCTCCCTCTCGAAATGCTCTCATATGGCCACGCGTATATAGCCTCTGCCAGGGAAGTTCTACTCATTGCCTCCTCATGGCGGGGGTGTTAATTACGAAATTGAGAGGACGAAAAGCGAATGTCCGGCGCTTTAACCGGGTTGGTGGATACGGAAAGTCCACCTAGGGGAGTTGGAAAACCCTGATTCCAAAACAATGGTACACATGGGCTCCAGTATCCTGAAGGAACGAATGGCGTATGAACCAGTTGCTGGTCACCAGCTACCATGGGACTACATCTCCTTAAGATGCTCCACTACATTGTGGATTAGATCTTTAGGTCAAGGAATCGGGGTGTGGACCCCTAAGAAAACCACCTGCTTCAGTTTGGGCACCTGGGCAGTATAACAGACCTCACACAAATCAAATGAGATTTGTGAGGCGCATATGTATCTGGTGCTTCCTTGTACCAATATTTATGTGTTTAAATAAATAATAATAAATAATTCTGTGATAAGAAGGGAAGAGAACTTTACAATGAGTTATCAGTTGACCGTAGCTGCTACCTTGATGTGGTAGTCAGTGTTGTCTATCATGATGATCCAAACGAGCTACAGACTGGAACATTTATTCATCTAGGTCCAACGGTGGCGGGGAGGTTGGTCGAAGAAAGGCAGGGCTAAAACCATAAAACTTGCAGTTAGATGGTGGTGTTGTGCTTCTGATTGTACTGCGGTGCGATGGCAGTAAGATGTTTACCTCAAACAACCAGTGTATCCACCAATAATGTCTTCCCATAATAGAAAAGGGATTGTAAAAGGTCATTCCTATTAGTGGTCAGTACACTTGAGTCAGTCAGCTACAACGTAGGACCAAGCACGCATATGCATCGGTTCACGTTGCCATACTTCATTGACACAACAAGATGAACACCGAATTCATAGTAGTTAAGTTAGTAGTGGTAATGTATAAAACAAAGGTCGTATATAAGGATATAGCACAGGAAGAAAGACAGATATAAAGTAATTGTAATCTCAAACTTTAAGGGAAGATAAAGAGTGTATACACCTGCACCATTGTGATCGATTCTGAACAGTACACTTGAACCCATAGATTTTTGTTGCCGGCAGTATAGCCTTATAAGTACAGAGCTAATGCAACAAAAATCACCAACAGAAAGGCCACGTGGTCGGTCAAAGAACTCTGGGGTTCAGCTACTAAATCTTCAATACGATCCCTGCCTAAGTTCCCTTCCCGCATCCACCAAGAAAAAGTATTCTTTCACACTGTGAATACCCAGGAAGTGACAACTTCACTGTAAGTAACTCAGTTACCAAATCCAGATTCGTGAACTTAGTTTTAAACCGCACTCTACATATGATGGCTAGTGATAATAGTTGGCTTCACAAACCGAAGTAGGGGGAGAGGGATATAAACCTGAGACTTAGAGGTTGAAAGTTGAGCAACTTTATAACTGGGCCACCGCTCCACCTACCACTTTTATACCTCTAACAAAAGACCTTCCATGAGTCCTCAACAATACAAAAGAAAACTAACTAGAGAAAATATCGATTTTGTCTCAGCTAAGGCGACCACACGATTACTCAAGTTTTCTCATAATTTCTCTTCAAACTGTATTAGTGGTCATTTATTTATTTACTTGAACACATAAACATTAGTACAGAGGGGCACCAAATACATATGCTCCATACAATAACAATGAGGGGCCAGTGGTAGTTATCATTGATTTGTGTGAGAGCTTGGATACTTCCTGAGTAACCAAATCGAAGCAGGTAGTTTTCTTAAGAGTCCACTCGCCGAGACTTTAACCTAAAGGTCTGATCCACAACTTTCGGAGATGCAGTTCCATTTACAGTCCTATGTACACCAGTGGTTTGTAGTCAGGGTTTCCCAACTCCCCTAGATGAACCCTCCATATCCACCAACTCGGTTAAAGCACCAGACATTCGCTTTCCGTCCTCTCAATTCCGTAAACAATACCCCCGCCGCAAGAAGGCAGTGAGTAAGACTTCCCTTACAGTGGCTGTATACGCATGGCCATGTGAGAGCATTTGGGCGTTTGGAGGCCTGTTAGTGGCCGATTTTTGAACGGTAGTGTGATAGTTGTCGTTATCGATTTACACAACAGAACCGATCGTATCAGAGTAACTCAATCGTTACTAATGTCACAAGTATTGTAGACCCATACAGAGCCCCAAACACACCTTTTTCATTCACCTAATGATTATTCAGTTAGTCAGTGAGCTACAACATAGGACCGGGAACATATATGCATCAGACCAAGTTGCCAAACCTTATTAGCACAACGAGATGAACACAGAATTCATAGAAGCAGTTACTTCGATGGCAGTAATATATAAAAGATTGTGTATAAGGAAAAAAATTAGTTAGTAGAGAGATATAAGACAATTTAAATCTCAGGGTTTAAGGGAAGACAGAGAGTGTATACACCTATGCCAGTGTGATCGATTCTGTGCCATGTCACCCAGAGTCTCCAACCATTAGTTACGATACTCAAGAGTTATATATAGAAAAACACTTAAAAAATTCGGTTTTTTATTACTAAATAACAAGATACTACAGAAAATAAAATCCTCAGAATAAAATGAACAGATTAGCGACACATTATGTTTTAAATAATTTCAACTTTAGATCCAGAGCAAACGTGAACGAGAATAAATCTACCGACAATGTTATACACATTGACTACAATCTAACAAATGCAGCGCAACCACTTACACCACTGTATGTTGGATAGTGTAGGAATAGATAGGGGAGTAGAATTTATAGCGGAAAAATTGAAGTCCAAATTTAGTAGTAGAGATACCTATGCACATAATTAGCATTCATTAAATTATAAATCTGTTATTGTTGTAGTTTGAAATGTAACAACTTGAAGGTAGTATATATTTGTGCCAAGTTTTATTTGTTTTCTTTTCAGTTAGGCAGTGTATCGAAAGTCGCTTAAGAAGGACTGTTTTTACTCAGATGACCAGTCTGATTTAAACCAAACAACAGTTGAAAACCATGAAGGGAAATATATACGAAGGTCAATAAATAACTTTTAAAACTGAAAATTTAAATGAGATAAATGTACAAATGTATGTCGCTGGGATTTCACTAATGTAATGAATACTAAACATGTACATACGCCAGTAGATTCCCCTTTATTAAAAAGTAATTTTAAGACATAAGGAAAGTTTTTAAATGACAATTTCCGAAACGAAATCACAACTCCACAAGACTAACAAGCAAATCACTTGATAGAACTGCATGGATGTGTATAACTCATTTGTCAAGTCAAATCTTAGGCATTCAGCTTTGAATTACACTGTTTATGTGAAAGTTAACGACGCTAATCAGATGACCAAATCAAAATAAGGCTACGGTTCGAATCTAAGGGTTAATTTGATTGAAAGATTTAGACAATAAGTAACCGCTCCTATTTACGAATCTAGTTATAGTTGGTCATGATATATATTTTGAATAAAAGAGAAAAACGATATTCGATAAGACAATACAGACAGAAGTAACGGAATAACATGTTAATATGCAAATGAAATAAAACTCAACTATGAGATAATATAAGATTAAATTGACTACCATCACCAATGAATAACTTACCTCTAGAGATATAACCAGCAATCGCACCTACGATAAGTAGAAGACATGAATTACGTAAACAATTATCACTTTCAACCATAATATCTCGACATGTATCCAGAAATAAGTCAACTGTTTCTCCTGTAGAAATCAAACGAAACATATGTACTGTGATATCCTTCAAAATACAAACCAATGTAAAATGACAACAATTTGGCAAATAAGTTTGTGCTACAGACAATTACCAGTATTTTCAATGCAGAATGCATAAATAAATGACTGATATGTGAAAGCCTGGATAACAGTTTTGATTCTTCCAAGGTTGATTTCAGTGCAAAAATCTCCATGAATAGAAATAAGAAATGGTTAGTAAAATCGGAGCACTTGAAGCGTTTTTAGATAGCTTGCTAGTAGTATATAGCGTGCATGATAAACTTTTGATTTAAGACCGATTTTAAGGATATGTGGAAAAAGGGTGACTGCCATATTTATTAAACCATTAAAAACAATGAGGGAAGCAACCACGTTTGATATTCAATGACAGTATTCTTTCCTAATAAAGTATCTAGAACGAATAAATACTTATTTCGTTTTAATCAACACTAAGGGTTTTTTTTCAAAATAGGAATAAAAAGGGATGGTGGCTAGCAGTGGAATATAAGACGCATGTTTCATCCTACTTAGGAATCGTCAGCTGGTTGTGCTTACATCCCAGAGTTGATGTGCATTCCGACACTCCAACACTATCAAACATTCCTGGTTATAATGCTTGTGACTTACTGGTAATATCAAGGCAATCCGCACAGGATGTACATATGCCAGTAAGAGAATGATAATTGCAGTCCTGAACATTAATGGGAAGATTCAAACAACCAATAAAAAAAGGAATATGAAATGTCATACGAAAAGTAATGAGATTATTTATATGCTACTACCACTACTATTACTGTTGATAAATGATGGAGTGACATTGTAGCATTGGACTAAAACGGCAATCCATTTAATTGAACTCGATTTTTAGATATAGTTTTAAATATTGGTTGGCATATCATTACGCTTTGAGTATTCTTAACTCTGATAACTTATGAAACCCGAGAATTCTTGTAAGATTATTGAGGTGAATTACCTTATTACGGACTTTAATATCAACAGTTAAGGGATAAAAAAGTTTCATTCATCTATATCTACATCTTGTTTACTATGTCATAAAACTGCTGAAAATCCTAACAAAATAAATCAGTTGTCCATTATAAGTATGGAAAAATTAGGCTACTTTAGATCATGTATCAACGAAGATTTATTATTATTATTATTATTATTATTATTATTAACCAGATTAATTTACACTGAATGATGAAATCGATGAAAGAACTATTTCAAAAGTAACAAGCACTACGCAAATACTTCTTCATACACAGTTGTACATACTGCCGGGCATGCGAGCTCAGGATAGAGCTCATATGTAGGCGTATAGTGCCAGTTTACTAAAAGAATGAAATCTAGATTTTCTCACGTCAGACGATTCGTTTATGCAACTGAATCCAGTTACTTATATTACAATCGGGAAGGAACCCTGGTTACTAATTCATGAGAAATAAGATGATCACTCAAATACAATGACTGTAAATTATTGAAGAGTTAAACATACACACAAAGAGAAAAATCAGTCAAAATCCCACAAAAAAATATGACATACTTTGAGATGCTATTTTTCCAGCAATAGCCTGAATTAACATCAATGTCGAATGATCACGAAAATACTGAAATGACTTCCGGAATAAATTGCACGGTAGTATAGCGTTTGCTGGAATATAATGAACTAGCAAAAAATTAAATGAAGTAAAAAAATAAACGAGATTAAAGTCAGTTGTTCTATTATGAATGTATAATTCCAGAGTTAAGTCTAATGACAAAGTTAGCTACATTAAGAAGCAATCCAGTACGATGTTGTCAAGTATTAGACTACATACAATCAGCAAAATAAGATCAACAGAATTTCAATTCCATTACGTAATTATTAATTGTAAATGGGAATATTGTTAATGAATCTGACAATCACATTATTCAGGGAAAAAACTAAATACATAGTGATGTACCAGTGATGTGCCAGTAATAAAGACGACAGTCAGAAATAATATCCAAGAATCAGTCTTTAACTTGCTCACTTGTGAGTGACGAAAACAAATCACATTCCCCAACAGCTTATGAGATATATTGATTTTCATTTTTGTGTTAAGTATTCAAGCATCTACTTTTACAACAAAACAACTTATACTACCAGCTAAATATCTTATTATTGAGTAACACTTTATTTAGGTGCTTACATTGATAATCCGGTCACATGGAGAGTCATCATTAGGGTACATTGTATCATTGTTGATTAACATACAACTCATCATATTAACGATCTTTGGAACAGTAATTATTCATCATGAAATTAAAAACACTTCCTTTATAGAATTAGTAAGTACTGTTGATACGAATAGGATCAACTTGTTGAACATTTCAGCGATAAAAGTGTCCACTCAACTGATTATAAGGTTATCAACCAAAATTTTCGAACATTTGACGTATATACTTCAAACAGTGGTAAACATTTGTTAAAAGGTGGTTTTGGAGCAATAAATATTGAAATAGGTATGAAGAGTTTGTGGGAATTATTAGGATTGAACTCAGAATATTGGGGTCTCGTGACGAGCTTTTGAACTTTAGAGTGATGAATCAGCCTCCAACAGTGTAGATGTTTAACTTCACTCAATATGAGATATTGAGCAATCAACTTTCAATGTGAATGCTGTGTAACTGCCACACAGTCTGTGGTGTAAACCACAAAATAAAAATGTGTATTACAGATACAAACAACGAAAACTGCTTGTTTTCATTTCAACCATTTGAAAACCTCAAACAAAAAGAATAACATATGAAACGTATAGTGAATATTTGGATATGAAGCTTCACTTATTCTTTTTACTTACCAGAACTATGATTGTAATTGAGTGGCAACAAATAGATTAGTTCTTGCAACTCAACAGAATTAAAATTAAAGTTCAAAAACTTGGCCAAGGCAGAACAAAAGCGATGAAAAGTTTCAGATGAATGAACAAAAGTACAAATATCCTCAGGATCTGAATCAAGTACAGACAAAAAGCAAAAACAAAACACTGACGTTTCTAATTGTTAGACACGAAGAAAGTGTAAAATACAGAAACGTTTTGACAGATCAATCGTTTAGTTACAGTGAAATAGACGATCTTGTTACTCCAGCACTAAACTGATAATAAGTCTATCACTGTTTGAAATATTTAAGACATTTCAGAGTATCGAGCAGACATCAAAATGCTAACTAGAAACAGTTACTACGAAGGGTTTATGGAGATTTTCAAAATTTCACTGGTGGGAGGGTCATGGATGGACACTGATGAGAATGTCCGTACTAAAACAAAACACTTGCCCAATGCTTCTTGTTTTTCCAAGGTTGTTCAACTAAGATCAGTTCGCAATGTTGACCATAAAAATTATATTTGCACGGAAGTAAACACGTATTCTTAATGGGTTTCTTGATAATTATTGTGCGATGATTTACTGGATTCTACTGATTAGAATATTTACAGTTAGGATGAATAGCATGTAAAAAGTAACAATGAGTTAGTTTTGCGAATCCCTTTAGGGGACCATTTGTTTGCGTACCACTCACACTTTCTCATAAATAAAATGATGTTATAAGGAATTATAAAGTGTTGACATGGGTATTTAAAGAACAAATAGGACAAATCAAATCAAAATACTGTAGTTAGGGGACTTTATCTATCAACTGTATTAAGTTAAATATAAAACATGGACATCAAAATTACCTAAAACATTTAAGTGACCAAGGATTGTTCTTAATCGCTTCTGCAGTTGTGATTCATCTGAAAATTAGTCAATTAGAAGGCAATATTAATTGGTATTTATGCTATAGATGTAGTCAGCAATGAGAAATCAATAAAATTAGTTAGATAAGGTAATAGTGTAAAAGCTTATGCGTTAATTTGCAGGTTACATGTGCTATGCTATGATTTACTGCATTACCTGTCTGACAAGCCGAAGTAGATTGAGATAGACTCATTGATAAAGTGATTTAACACTAAGTACTGAAATGATTGACGTGGAGTTTTGTTAATAATCATGAAATTAAAACTATCCCATAATTCCTCTTAAATAATCCCAATAAAATTCGGCATTAGTTTCAATTTGTTCATTATTCCGTAAGAATCTCATCTGAGTCACAAAAGAGATGTTGAAATCTACTAGATAGACCCGAGAGCATTAACTAAAGACCACTACGTCAATTATCGATGAATTTATGGATTCCAGATTACTTTCGGTGATAATAATCAGTAAACAGATAATGGAGTAAACAACCGGAGGCCTAGCACAAATGTGTACCAGTGAAAACAAATAATTTATTTTCGTTACTCTAAGTAGAAAACTTGTACATTCTTACAGTGACAACTAGTGAGCAGAAGATATAATCTAATAGTTGAGAATATAAAAATCATGTAAAAAAAATACAATAAATCAAGTACGAATTTGATAGCATATTTCGATCTAAGTGACACCACACTAACATAATAACTCGGGGGAAAAAGTTATTTTATAACTAATTATTTTATTGGGTTAAATTGCAATTTGATAACTACGGAGACTGAGAACCTCAATTTGATTTTAAAATGGGTTTTGAGCGTCCACCGATGAAGTATAGAACTGCATACAAGAAACCACCATTACTGACACGCGATCTTTATCATTTCAGTCACATAGGTTAGGTACTCATAAGTAAAACACATAGTTATGGGTTGAGCTCTACTTAACGTCGGTATTAAGATATTTTGTGTTATTCGGCCATATCCAACAATAGCGGACTAAAAATTATTACATACATTTGTGTGTGGTCAACGATTCTCAAGATCGGTCATGTATATTGTGATTCAATGAAATGTAGGAAGCCTAGTAAAACGTTAATTCAAAGCCAAAACAAGAATGATCTAACAAGCAAAAATGACGTTTCCCAACAATAGTGATTTTGAACATAATTCAGGTTGTAAAATGAAAATTATGGAGTCTAACAAGTGTCAGATATTATTGTAACTTGAAAGCAATTCTTCATACATAAACTTACCTAGAAGACTAAATAGTTGACTCAAAAGAAAGTTTACTTGTTCTGTTAAAGAATCAAAACCAGCCTTTCTTATTAATTCATGACCGAAAAGATTGGTAAGTGATTTAGGAACAACAAGAGAGTTCACATTCCTTTCATGAATTGTGGTGAAATCACTCAAGAACTTTTGGGCTAAAAAACTACTTTCTTTGAGAGAAGTTTGGTTTGGTATCGAATTTCTTAAAGATGATTGTGAAGCTAACATCAGCAGACCAGAAACTACAGTGTATCTGAGGTGCTGACTTTCTCCAATATTAATCAGTGAATGACATTTTAGTAGTAATACACCCAGCCAGTGTGCAAAAGCAACAGATAGTCCTACATTTCTGTCTACATCTAGCTCCAGCTGAGTGTGGATTACACTATCAACAGTTTTTGAGACCAAAGAAGTTATGTGAGATTGAGTTGTTTTGAACCACTCGGAAGTAAAAGGTTCGCACTCTGTTGTAGACTTTGCTGAAACGAAATAAAATATGCTTTTGTAGATGACAAACAATAAAAACACAGAAGCATCACAAATAACTGAAGAGGATGTAACATGTTATTAACTACTATCATCATAAGTCGAAAACCAAGTAAAATTGATATAAGGTCATTTACATGGGGAACTTAATCCCAACAGTAACCGGTACCTTGACGTGGTGGCTGGCCTTGTATATCATGATGATCGAATCGAACTATGTTGACTAAAGCACTTGTTCCTTTAGGCCTTAGCATATTAAGTACGCCGGTTGGAAAACAGCAAGACTAAAAGCAACAACTTAGGGTTCGCAGACGAAGTCGTATTGCCGAATATACAGGGGTATGACACTAGCAAGGTGGTCCCCTCAAATAACTAACATTTATGGTGGTCGATAGGTGTTATGTCCCGATAAGAATAATAAATGGTAACTTTGGGATCTATTTATGAACCAATATCATGCATATATTTTTTATCGTATAATCGCTATATAACCAAACTATCCATATTCATGTTCCCCTTATTATAAGCTTTATTTTGAACTATAAACTATTGTTATACGATTCACCATTCATAAATTATCCACTGTCTATTAATTACTTTTACCCCTATTCACAGCCACATTTGGCTGAGTTTTGTACCGATGTTATTTTCTATTTTATGGTACAATGTGGTCAGTTTGATTAGTATATAAACTCAGTATGTTTGAAATATAATGATTCATACCGCAGAGGCTGTTCTGGACTTAACTGGCTGGGATAGGTAGAAAGCAGGTCTGATAACTACTCAAGACTGCTCATACGGCCTTTGTGTATCATTGCTCTAATTGATAATTCACTCCACTCTGATTAGTGGGAATCATCACGTTATACGTTAACACGGCATCCACTCGGCCACAAGCTATAACAATAAGGCCACTAGTAAACCACTTTTTTTCAGGTCCCTCGACAGTAAATATCCTTCCCAAAATATGGACAACATGAAAGTGGTAACTGACATCATACCTCTAACAGAATGCGGAATTAACTCATTCATAATCAAACCATATCTTTATCACCAATCGGAAAGCGACTATTAACAGTTATACAGTTTAATGATCAAACTAAATCACAGGATCAAGTGTTCTTCAAAATGAGTTATCTAATTGTGTTGAAAGCTATACTACGATAGGACTAATCGATGGACAAAGTTGGTGTCAACTAACCATCCACAACTAATTTAAGGAGTGACACAACACTGTATCAGATCAGGTTGCCACACCACATCAGGATGACGAAATTAACTTAACAAGATTAAAAGAGGAGGGATCAAAACAATATGAATAATAGTTTATACATATTGGTTGTTTGGATCTTACGGTTGATGTTTAGGACTACAACTTAAGAGTCTCTTTTGGCATATGTGCCTTAATATTGCCATTAAATCACAAGCATTTTAAGCCGAGTTGGATGACAAGTAGCATCCCTGTTAGCCACCATCCACCTATGCTGAAGATCATCAATGGTATTAAGACTAAATATATGGAGTGTAGTTCAAAAGTTATGAAATACTGGAGTGAAATAACTGAAAACGAAAAGGAAGAGAAAGTATAGATGTATCTGTGTCACTGCTACTTTACATAGGGTTTCCCAAAAACGCACACAGTTACCGCGCGGATCCCAACTAGACAGTATACACTTATCAAGTGCGTTTAAACCGACAGTCACGCCTCTCCTAGTCAAGCCTCTCCTAGCACTTCCTTAGGCTAATATTGTCTACGATAACATTGTACATCGATTTAGACATCGGTCCCGTTTATATAACACAAGTACGATCCACCATTGTCAATGAGAACTCACTAACGTATTAATAAACTTGGTACTCCAAGTAGCAGCCTTTGTTTAAACTCTACACCACCCATTCAGTTGTTCCACCAAATAAGAATAATGATTCGAAAACAAAGGTGATAGAATGTTATCAGTCTGTAAATTTACCAAACAACTTGCACAATAATAAACTTGAACAACGTCCCTTCATGTTTTATGGCTGTCCACCAGATTTCAACATCCGTTCAATCACAAAACGTATGGTAGCGGACAAACGGCTCTCTAAATTGAAACACGAACTTCATGCACATTTCCACTCTAAATTGTTCCAAAACAATGGTGTATTTTGCTCACTACAATCTGATACAACATAATGCGGCTTATTTGGTCATGTTAAACATCAGACCTTTTAAGAATATGTATTCCGTTCAAGTTGCTACACCTCACTTTAACTCAGGATAACCCAACAATCTGAGAAGCAAAGAATGATGAATATCAACTGAGATAGAACGTTAGGTGTGGAAAATAAAATTCAAAGATGACAAACAATGTCGAGGAACGAAATTTCCGTGATACTTAACTCAGGATTTTAAAAATTCATCTGCGCCAGCATGATCGATTTTGGGCCATAAAACCCGTCCTAAATCCTAAATCACGACTTGAACTAGAAGATATGTACCTTCCCAAAAAATTTGAACAGCTAGTGATTTTGTAGATTGATGCTACTTGTCACGTATGTGTCTTGCTTTATTCGAACTTCGGCGTATCTTGTTACTTGCTGCTTTTAGTCTTAAAGCTATCCAGGTGATGTGGTTGGGGCTGTAGAACTTTAAGGTAAAAGCGTTTTCATTGAAATAGTCAGGTCAATTCGTTATGACAGAGAGTTCGGTCCCCTGTATGAAAATAAGTAACGTTTGGAAATCAGGTGTAATAAACAAACGTCATATGTGTGCAGTGTTGTTTGGGCCAGGACCAAGCCTTAAAGAAAGTGAATCGAAAATTCAGGGAGAAACGTACATAATTTGCAAATGCTTTGCTACTGCCCTCAGTACCTTGGAAAGTAGGTTCACACTGAGGCTAAAGAATTTGAAAGAGAAATTTTAGAGAAAAATACCCAGAGGAGAACTCTATTTTATCATGAAGACATATTAGGTGGTTATTTTATTACCTGATTACTGTTGTTTAACTCACGTTTCTTATTAGTGCCTTCAAATATAACAACATTTGGAGGTGGGGCAGCGGCATTTTAAGAGATCCTTATATACAGATAGTGATGAAAATTTTGGAAAGTAGTTAATATATTTTAGGATATATCCAGCGGAAAAAATTCACTTGCATATATCTATGAAACTTTGCAACGATTGTTTTTATTCTGCTTACAATATATTTCCGAGTTAAAGGGGTAAGATATACATAAAACGGAATTTAGAACAATGAAACATACTTTTTTGCACATTTTTATTAGAGCTGGGTTCGTTTTGGAAAACAGAAATTAGTATGGAAGACCAAGCATTTAATGCAGCCTGAATGAATCAATTTATAATAAGTACTTCACATACCACTCTGACACTTGACCACACTTTATGATTGGCGGTTATAATTCTGTAGAATGATTGGGAAAATCCTGGTAAGAAGCTCTTTAATGAATTGGCGAGATGACCTTTGAGTAAACCATCGGTGTCATCATTTACCTCACGAAAAGCATTTACAGGAAGAGCGATAAGCGACAAAGTGCCAAGTGAATTGCAGCATACATCGCGATTCTTGGAATATTCGCTCAAATCTAATAAGAAGGAGCAGATGTGGCTGATGATCGGCAGACATTCTGGTGCAGTAACAGACATTACTTCACTACATAATTAAGGACGTTAGAAACTTGCTTGTATCTTATAGACGAAAACAAGGACTTAAGTGCTGAAGTCAAAGCCAGACAACATTCTTCAGACAGCAATGACCATAATTTACAGTCGGGATTTTCAGTTGTGTACAAGTACAAAACAGCACTCATGTCGTCCAGGAACTCAACACAAGCCTTAGATCTATCGACGTTAGCAGAAATTTCGAACAGATGACTATATGTTCTATATATGGACTCAACTTCGTCATTTTTTAGTTTCCTGGAATTAATGTTATAGGAAAAGTTGGCATACTTTTTCCTAAGTAATAAGGATCGGAGGGAATTATGTACCTGATCGAAAACTAGGTACACAATATTTTCTTTGCAGTTGTCTAAGATGAAACTCAAGTATTTTATGGTGCTCTCGTGGTCACCTTCAGTCATATTTTACGACATTTAAGCTGTCACAATATCAATGACCCTGAATACAGAGAATTCAAACACCTTCGGCTTTTAGTAGTTACGATAGGAGGTCAATCGACCTATATTAACCCTTCAAGTTTGTAGTGTAGTAAAGATAAAATTTCGCTTTGAACATATCGACAGAAGGTGGTGATATTACGTGTTCTGGTGGAGAATATCAGTAATTCAGTACTTATTGAAAAAATTTTAAATGTAGACCATTTGATCTGAGTTTTTTAGGTCGTAGCTGAGAATAAATCTCCAAAATCAACAGCTCTGTAAGTGTGTGACATTGGATGCTGACCACATTAGTTTTAATGGACTCATTTAGCTGAAGCCGTTGTAGCTGTAAATAATTCCCCAAAATCAATAGCTCATTAAGTGTTCGACATTGGATGCTGACCACGTTGTTTAAGTGGACTTGTTTAGCTGAAGGCTTTCGGTCATGCATCCGCACCAGATCACGTTTCAATACTGCGTGGGACACAGCTCCTACGTTTCATTAGCCAGCTCATAGAAAAGGTCCTCGATATATTGGTAACGAATCAAATATATCTTTCCTGCCTCTTCTCGTTTGACTTCTGATTTTCTATCTGACTGGTAACAACCGAATTTAGAAGGTGCTACTGGTATCTAGTTGTAAAACTAGAATATCCGTTGCATCATCATTGGTGAACCCGACGTGATCTGGTACACCAAGTCAATATACTGTGAGTCTGTTCCATTTTGGAATATTATTATTCATTGTTATTCTTTATTTGAATTTTATATATTGTGATATACTTTTTTCACGAATTTTTTTTTCTCGAATATATTTTACTTAGACATTTTTCGATATCTATATTACTATGACGGAACACTCTCCTAAGGTTCTTAAGTTAAAGTCTATTCCCCCTATTTCGATTCAGTTAACGCCATTTTGGCCCGACAATATCGAGTCCTGGTTCTGCTATGCAGAAGCCGATTTTTGCATGCACGGAATCACGGACTCGCGCACACGTTTCCTCGCAGTAGTTAAGGCGTTACCGCGCGAGTTTAACAGGTACGTAACACCTAGTATGTTTACTAGTGATGTTTCCGAACCTTACGAATCGCTTAAGCTATCGATTTTAAAACGAGGAGACCTAACTGATCGACAACGGTTAGACCAACTCCTTAACAATATCGACTTGCAACATGGTTCTGCGACGGACATGTTGCTTAGAATGAGAGAAGTCATCGGCCAACGAACTTTCGATGATGGCCTATTTAGACAACTTTTCTTGTCTAAACTCCCTCAACAGGTGCAGGCAGTGCTTGTTTCATTTCAAAACAATGCCATAGATGAACTAGCTGCATCTGCCGATCGAATCTTGGAAATCACTAGATCTTCTAAGGCCGAGGTTTTTTCCGTCAAAGAAAAACCCCAATCGACCTCGACTGACATGGCCGAACTATGTCACACGCTTACACGATATCTTAGAGTTCGCAATGACCGTAGTCGGTAAAAAACCCCGCGTAGAAGCGTCTCACGTAAGAGATCTGGCTCTCGACCACGAGAGACAGACAATCCCGACTGGTGCTGGTATCATAACCAGTACGGTAAGTTTTCCAGAAATTGCAGGAAACCTTGCAATTATCCGACTTCAAAATCGACTGACACGAAAAACAGTTCGGGAAACTTCCCAGCCGGCACGCGTTAACGGCAACCGTAGCCGGCGAACACAGCCGCCTCTTATATGTCACGGATGTGACTACGAAAGTTCGCTACCTCGTCGACACTGGCGCAGAAGTTAGCGTTCTTCCAGCAAATCTCGACGACAGACTTCGCGAGTCTGTTTTAAGTTTACAGGCGGCAAACGGAAAGCCGATCGCTACTTACGGTAAAAGGTATGTCTACCTTAACGTGGGTTTACGTAAACCCATACACTGGATTTTCGTGGTTGCAGATGTCTCTATGCCAATCATTGGTATTGACCTGTTACAACACCACAATCTACTCATCGACACACGCGCACGAAGGTTAATAGACGGAAACACTAAGTTGTCCGTTTGCGTAACTCCTTGTTCTGGTTGCAGGTTATCCCCAGTCACGATTAAGCACGCCATAGACCCCTTGTACCAAGCAGTACTCGACAAATACCCCGGGATATACCAATCGCAATCGAAATTACCTTGTGTAACCAGCAATGTTACACATCACATCTCGACTACAGGACCACCTGTATTCTCGAAAGCCCGAAGACTCGCTCCCGAAAAACTTAGGTTAGCTAAAAACGAATTCAACCACATGATGGACCTAGGAATAATTCGACCATCGAATAGTCCATGGGCATCCCCATTGCATATGGTCCCTAAAAAGGACAGCAATGATTGGCGGCCAACTGGTGATTATCGGCGTCTGAATGCTAAAACCATTCCCGATCGTTACCCGCTGCCTCATATTCACGATTTGACAGCTACCTTGAAAGGTACAACTGTCTTTTCGAAAATCGACTTGGTTAAAGCTTATAACCAAATCCCGATGGCAACTGACGACATTCCTAAAACCGCCATCATCACTCCCTTCGGTCTTTACGAATTTCTACGAATGCCTTTTGGTTTAAGAAACGCGGCTCAAACCTTCCAAAGGTTTATAGACGACGTCTTCCGAGGTCTCAGCTTCGTACATGCGTATGTTGATGACTGTCTAATAGCAAGTCCGGACAGAGAATCGCATCTCAAGCATCTGGACATTGTTTTCGATCGACTTCAAAGGCATGGCATTACTGTCAACATTCAGAAATGCCAAATCGGAACTAACTGCTTAGATTTCTTAGGACACACCATTGATGCCCAAGGCATCCGACCCCTTAGGAGCAAAGTGGCGGCCATTCTGGATTACCCAGAACCGACCACGATCAAGCAGTTGCGAACTTTTAACGGACTCGTAAGTTTCTATAGACGGTTCATACCTAAATGCGCATCCCTAATGAAACCGTTGACCGATCAGCTTCGTGGAAATGCGAAATCAATTAGTTTAGACGACACAGCCCGTAAAGCATTTTCCACAGTTAAGGAACACATCGCTAAAGCAACCTTGCTTGCTCATCAGGACAGTCAAGCGCCCATTAGTATCGCCGTAGACGCATCCGACTCAGCAATCGGAGCAGTCTTACAACAACGGGTTAACAACTCGTGGCAACCTTTAGGATTTTTCTCGAAACGGTTGCTAGACGCGGAATCTAGGTACAGCACGTTCGGTAGGGAACTCCTAGCTATGTATTGTGCTGTACGGCATTTCCAACATTCCATCGAAGGAAGAGAATTCACGCTCTTTACCGATCACAAACCTCTTACCTTCTCATTAAATTCATCTTCAGACAAGTACTCACCGCGAGAGTCTCGACAACTCGACTACATTTCGCAGTTTACTTCAGACATACAACATATTTCTGGAGCAAACAATGTAGTCGCAGACGCCTTGTCTCGAATTAGCTCCTTGAACAGTTTCCAAGGAATCGACCTTCTTAAACTCGCTCAGCTTCAAAAAGAAGACATTGATCTTCAGCATGAGTTATCCTCGACAACTCTTAAACTAAGTATTAGGCAGATGGGAACAGGTAAGGAAACCTTACTCTGTGACACATCTACAGGTAGGGATCGTCCAATTGTACCAAAACACTATCGCCGCAACGTCTTCAATACGTTGCACAATCTTTCTCATCCAGGTGCTCGTGCAACAATCGAACTTATAGCCGAACGCTTTTGTTGGCCTGGCATGAATAAAGACGTGAGGGAGTGGTCACGCTCCTGTGTAAGCTGTCAGAAATCTAAGGTAATCAGACACAACAAATGTCCCTTAGGTTCTTTCAAAACCCCTGACGCTCGTTTCGACCACGTCCATCTAGATTTGGTAGGACCCTTACCCGACTCGAACGGATACTCATATCTCCTAACATGCGTAGACCGTTTTACTCGATGGCCAGAAGCAGTACCGATTAAGGACATTACTGCTGAAACAGTGGCTCGCACTTTCGTCGAACGATGGGTAGCAAATTTCGGCTGCCCTTCAACCATCACTACAGACCGCGGACGCCAGTTCGAATCTGGACTTTTCCGTTGTCTGACCACACTTTTAGGAATCACGCGCTTCCGAACGACCGCCTACCACCCACAAGCAAACGGGTTGGTAGAACGTTTTCATCGACAACTAAAAGCCTCATTATCAGCTTCAAACGTTTCACAGTGGACAGACGCTCTTCCACTCGTCTTGCTAGGTATCCGCAATGCAGTGAAAGCTGACATTGGATACACGGCATCTCAACTCGTTTACGGAACGACACTCCGACTCCCAGGAGAATTCGTGGATCCTTCAGCTTCTTCATTGAACATGGATCTAAACTCTTACACGAGTAGGCTTACAAACGCTATGCGTTCAGTTAAACCTGCTCACACTCGACCTCAATCAACTGATGTTTTCGTTCAACCCGAACTACGACATAGTACACACGTCTTCGTTCGTCGAGACTCACATCGACGACCCCTCGAATCAGCATACGAAGGACCCTTCAAAGTTCTTCAACG